TTGGTAAAAATACTTATTTCTTTCTATTTCAACATCACCACGATTTAGGAACAGCACTACACACAACTTTCAAAAGTTCTATTTTTTCCGAAAACATCTAGTCCTTAGATTAGTCTTATTATCATTGGTCGTGCCATATGCTTTATCCAGCAATAAAATAAATTGCGTTTAGTACGTTGATTGAAATGAACCAATTTATCTCTTCTGTGGCGAACAAATTATACCAAAAGTAACAGGATTAATTGAAAAACTGGACATTTTCGGGGAAAAAATTGAAAAAAACGAAGACTTTGAAAGTTGTGTGTAATGTTTGTGTTAAATCATGATGATATTGAAAGAGAGATAAGTGTTTTTTACAGCGAAATATACCAATTTCTGCAGAATTAGACGGTGAATCTTTCGATAAAAAAAATAAAGCATGAGCGATAAGGTAACACTTAAGATGTTAACAAAATACTGAGAGCCTCTTTTATTACGAGCTATCCATTCGTTTTAACACATTCACCACGATGAGACTCACTGACAGGTTCTAATATTCTCTAACAAAAGTTGATCGCACGGAATTTTGCTTTTCTCTAAATACAAAGAGTACACAAATTAAAATAAGCTTTGCTTTCCAAATTGTAGAGCTTTTCACGCTGAGTCTTTTAGGATATTTTGCTTTCCTAATAAAACATCTTTAGAGATTAAAATACGAAATGCAATGTTCTCTCAGTCGTTATCGGTCACCCGTTATCAGAGAAAGGCGGGTCCCATCGGTGGGATCCGTCATGGTGAATGTGTTAAATTTTAGTTTCGGTATACTAATCACTCGCATTGTCTGGCATCACAAAACACAACTAATTAACCAATAGACAAAATCATTGAACACGTTTTCTTTTTAAAGAGTATTCTTCATCTGATTTAAGAGCTTTTGACAAATCTTTTTTACCTAATAAATATTTATCCATTACAGTATATGATAAGGAGAACTTCAAAATAATTGTTGATTAAATCGTAGCATTTAATATTTTTTTGTTTCTTTTCGTTCAAAGGATATCAATATTAGCTCTTTATTAGCAATGTTCGAAAAACTGTTGATGACGAACGATAAATGTTAGCTGAGACGGATCAATTTTATATTCTTTTCGTGATCATTAATATTCGACAACTTTGAACCATTCTCTATTGAAGATAACTCTAATTCAATTTCTGTTTTCTGGTTTAACTGCTGATGACATATTTATTACTTCAGCAACTACTACTGCTTTGTGAATACTTTCTTCGCTAGTCGAGCTGTCATTATCATGTAGAGCTGTGTTTTCTGTTCCTTTTGTCTCACTAATCATATTAATTATTCATGTTCATTGAGTAAACAAACGAAAGAATGTATATGTCGATGTATATGAATTACATGAGTAATTAAAATACGATAGAAGACCATAACTAAAGAATTGATTTGAAGCCAGATATATAGGTTGGTAGTTGTTTGTAGTCAGTAGAAAATAAAAATTACTCATATCAAATAGAAACAATTAGAATGGCACAAAAATACCAGTAGGTTTTGATACGGTTTTTTTAAATAATTATGGAAACGAAGGTATTTCAAGAAAGCAATGCTGATTGAAATAATAAATAACGCTGTATCATAAAAAGCAGAAACGACAGAAAAAAAACAGAAAAAACTTTAAAAAGCAGAATTTTTCTGCTAAAAGCAGAAGAGGTGGCAGCTCTGGTCCTCAAGGGCTACCATATAGGGTAGCCGTTGAGGATCTATGGGCAACCCTATAGGATAGCCCTTAAGGACCCATGGATGTCCCTATATGGTAGCTCTGGAGGACCTATGGGCACTTCCATAGAGTAGCCGTTGAAGGCCTAAGGGTATCCATATAGGATAGCCCTTGGGGACCTTTGGGTACCCCTATAAGGTAGGGATGTGCAGTTTCAGTGTACTGCCCACTGATATAATCACACTGGCGTTCACCGGTACACTGATGACACTGACACTGACTGCACTGTCTGCACCGACATCGGTGTTCACTGAAACAATGGATACACTGACTGAGGCTGTTGCATTGACGCAGAACGGAACACTGATATATTGATCCTGATTTCCATTGACTAAGTGGACACCAATGCCGGTGCAGACAGTGGAACCAGCGCAGTCAGTGTCAGTGTATCTACTGATTTAGTGAACACCAATGTCGGTGCGGACAGTGCTGTCAGTGTCAGTGCATGCACTGATTCGGTGAGCATCAATGTCAGTATGTCACTGCAGTCAGTGCGCTCAGTGGAGTAACATCACTGTCAGTATTTCACTGTTTCCACCGAAACTGCACATCCCTACTATAGGGCAGCGCTTGAGGACCTATGGGTACCTCTATAGGATGGCCCTTGGGGACCTATGGGTACCCCTATAGGGTAGCCCTTGAGGACTTATGGGTACCCTATCAGATAGCTCTTGAGGGGCCGATGGGCACACCTATAGGGTAGCCCTGGCGGACCTATGAGTACCCTATAGGATAGCCCTTGAGGACCTATGAGCACCCCTACAAATAGTTCGGTTCGTTCAAGTGAGCTGTTTGAACAGTTCAGCTCATATGAAATGAGCTGTTTCAAAAGTTCGGTTCGCTCAAATGAGCTGTTCGAACAGTTCAGCTCATTTGAAATGAACTGTTTGAAAACGGTTCAGTTCGCTCAGAAGAACTGTTCGAGCAGTTCTTTCGCTCATTTGAACTGAGTTCGTGAGCTGAGCTTGTGTACCCCTTATCCCTACCTAGGAATGAGAAATTTACATGAGTTTCGAGTTTCTAAGAATGAAAACCCGTTGTAGATTTCCGTTCCTAAGAATCCGGGAATCCATAGTGACTTAACCCAAATTGAAAGACAGATATATCTATAAATGTGAAGATGGTTAAAACCGCGTGGAAAAGAATTTTCAAGTGGATTCCCGTTCCATAGGAACGGAACCCAAAGGAATAAGAACGCTGACACCCTATCCAAAAAGCGGACCAGATGCTCAATCGGTATTACCAGCTCCAATAAAACTTTGCCCATATGTAGCTCCAAGGGAGATGTCAAAACGCCAAAATTTTAGCCTCTGAAACCGTTCCCTTGTTGACATATTTAATCTACAACAGAGCCACCCACAGGTAAAAAATAGATATGATCACAGCAGTACTTCTGCATTGTATATTTCGCTATTTTTCAATAACAATGTTTCTAGTCATGAAATTTTGTGGGTGTGGGTGTGAATGTGTGATGTGGGCGTAAGTTATCTCATCGCTCACACCCACACCCCATACGCACACCCACCCACATCCACACCTACACACTCACACACACCCACATCCACACGCAGCCACACCCGCACCCCACACCCACACCCACACCCACACCCCCCCTTCTTTGTTTTTCTACAATAAAAATACGATTTTATTTACTCTTTTCTTTTCTCTTTCAAAAAATAAATAAAATCCAAGGGAGAAAAAGTGGATTTGGGATTTTACAGATTATAAAATCCAAATAGGATTATTTGAGATTATTCGCGATTATTTGAGATTATTTGGGATTATTCGGGATTATTCGGGATTATTCGAGATTTTTTGAAATTTCTTTTAGATTCCTGAAATTTTTTTTTGAACTTTTGAACTTCTTATTCCTTGTCTATCATTTAAATACCATATTTTCCATTGCGAAACAAAGTCCTATCATAACAAGGTACATTGATTCGACTAAATCAATCGTCCTCTCTCATTCACAGCAGTGGCATTCTTCAAGACTTTTGACTACTCCTCTCATCAAAGTACAGGTAAAAAGAGGTCCCAAAACGCTTAAAGTCTTCTGTTTTTTCTGTGTTCATTCATACTAGGAGTTTTGTCAGCTTTAGTTGTCATGTATTGCATCTGCTTAGTTATGTCTATCTCAAGAAATATTAAGAATTGTATGTCCTAAAAAATATTTAATCACATTCTCATTTTACGCATACATTTTTTTATTATTTTGCTAATAACTAATAACCGGTTTCATGATCCTCACAGTATAAGAGTTAAGAGAGAAAGAGAGAAAGAAAAGAAAACAAAAAAAAAAACAAAAAAGAAAGAAAGAGAAATGATACAATTTGTATAGAAAAAGAGAGAAGATAGCACATAAATCAAGAACAAGTACAGGTACTATAACATTATGATTCCGTACTTTATTTGTGTCATATTTTGTTGATTTCTGTCTAATGGAAGCTATCTGTTGGATGGCTACGCATACATTTTATTTTGATTGTGTAACGTGTTTCAAGCGATCAGAAGAAAGAGAATATTTTTCATTTGTCAATACCCAACAACACTCTAAAAAAAATCGGTTTTTTACCGAACCCCCAAAAAAGGTTCCGGAGATGTCTAAAAGCATCCAAAGATGTCCAAAGTCTCAAAAAAAGGATAAAAAAATCTACGAAACCTTTAAAGGTTCTTACCGTGTACCGAGGATAAGAACCTTTTGCTGCGAAACCTTTTTTTAAGTTTCGTACAGCAGAAAAAGGTTTCGTAGGAAAATACGAAACCATTAGAGTTTCGTATTAAACTCTACGAAATCATGAGGGTTTAGTGCAAAACCATGAGAGTTTAGTACGAAACTATTAGGGTTTAATATGAAACTCTAAAGGTTTCGTATTTTCCTACGAAACCTTTTTCTGCTGTACGGAACTTAAAAAAAGGTTTCGCAGCAAAAGGTTCTTATCCTCGGTACACGGTAAGAACCTTTAAAGGTTTCGTAGATTTTTTTATCCTTTTTTTGAGACTTTGGACATCTTTGGATGCTTTTAGACATCTCCGGAACCTTTTTTGGGGGTTCGGTAAGAAACCGATTTTTTTTAGAGTGAAGCTGTTTGCTTGTGGATATAAACACCAGTAGTGTCATTTTCTCGTCGAACTTTGAAGAACGAATCGGATTGTTTTGGATCAATGGATTCTTTCACACGTATGCCTTTAAAAGAGACATTCGACGAATGAAGAAGAACGTGAGAAAGATCTTGTACTTCATCTTCATCTGTATCTTCTTTATCTGTATCTTCTTCATCTGTATCTTCATTGTTGGTTTCTTCCGATGGGTCATCAAACACTTGCTGCGGTTGTGACGATCGAATTTTTAGTTTTGCGGTCTCGTAATGTTTTATGATGAGCATAGAAAGACTTGCCGTTGTTTTATATTTGCTTGTTTTTAATGTATCTTTACCAATGAGTGGTTCGATTAGTTCATATGCAGTTGTAAAGGCTTCTTCAACTATTGTCTCGATATCGATCGGTCGAAGAGACGAATACATAAATGCTGATGATGACGAAGAAGAGGGACCATGTGCGACTTTACCATGCTTATGATGTTTGGGAAAGCGAAGACCGGATGAATATTCTTGTTCTGTTTTGATCAACTGAAGAGCACTTATTTTATCGGCGCGTCGTAGGAAGTCAAGAACGGTAAAGTTCACGATGTTTGATGACACGCCTGAAATTGCTCTTGCTAAGCGAAATACGCTTTCACACGATTGAGGATTTAAAAGTTCAATTGAGAGTGCATCAAATGGTAGTTGACCAGCGATAGCAAGAAGAATAAGATATGTCAATGAATGTGCATTGATTTCGATAGAGAATAAACTAGGATTAGTGATCGTAAAACGTCGTTTAGTTTTTTTCGTGGACGGTTTCGGAGTCGTAATCTTTATAGATGATTGAGACGATAGAGAAGCAACAAGAGTATTGAATTGAGTAGAAAACGTTTTTTCGAGTGTCTTTCTGGGCTGAGTATTGAGCCAAATTCGCCAAAACCTGCAAATGAAGACTGAAAGCCAGGCATAGTGAAGATGATCAGTGAGCAATATGTCCTTTTCGCAGTATGCAAAGATGATGCATTCAATAAGTTTTAAATATAAGTATATGCCTTTCGTATTCGGAATAACACCATCCATTGTTTTAAGTATTTTAAAAACGTCGTCTTGACAAATTTTTTGGCATGAAGAAAAATTTTGTCGATCGCGTGGTCGCACATTGGAGTAAACTAAACCATGACGAATTTTCGATGTAATAGAAATCATATGAATAAGAATAAGATTGGAGATAATTTCATCACCAAACAAAAGGCATGCATTCTTCGACAGCAATCTGTTGCGGAGCTTGGTGCACAGAGGCACTCCGTCCTAAACAAAGAAAAACAATGAAACAAAAAAAAATTTGCAACTATTTGCTTAAATTAAGGATTCCATGACAGATGTTCCTCGGGCAGATCTCCATAGTGACATTTGCTCTCTAGCCCCAGATCAAGTCCCAATCAAAACTGAAACTCACTCTGTCTCGCCCTCACCCATATCTACATCCTCATTTTCATCGACGCCCTCACCGTCACTCAGACTCGCACCTTTACCCTCAACTATTTGGAGAACAAGTGTCGTTGGGAAGCAAGCGTTGCTGGAGAAGAAGTGTCCTAAAAACAACAGTCGTGTTATCTAAATTAACTAAGAGCTGGAGCTTCTGCTTCGTAACAACTTAATTTCATAATTTTTATAGAGAATGATCAAAAAAAAATAAAAATCTATAGACTCCAATATATAGATTAAGCGCTCACTTGTATAAATAAACATCATTGTAAAGATTGAAGGTAGAACCAATGCCAATGAGAAGGAATATTTACTTTGAAAGCATCAGTATGATATCTGAACGGATGATCAATGTTGAATGCGAAGAAACCGCTGGCTATTCGCATACTTCGAAGATAGCGACTATCGCAGTCGGTTGAAAAACCAATAATTCGAATGCCTTTTTTTCTTGGTTTCTTCGTATATCCAAAGCCAGCGATTAAGTACATCTTCAGCAGTGTAAGTACCGGCAATACCATAGGCAGAAAGAAGAAAAGGTGAAGGAATTCGATCGGACGAGGTATTAAAAAGAGGTTGTAACATATGGACGTTGATGGAAGTAGATATTTGTTTTTCTTCAAACCATTTTTGAAGTTCCACATAGGAATCCGTACGATGCTGATCAGGTAGTGGCTGTCCGTCTGCAAGAGGTGTATCGAAGCCAATGAATGAATTGGACATTGAATCATAAGTCACTTTACGAATTACACCGGTGGTATCCTCTGCAGCAAAGGCAAAAGTGAAGTCATTCGAAGAAAAGTAGTCGTGCATCGTATCGAACCGAAAGTGAGCCTCGTACATACGAAAAGAAGAATTTGCAAGTCTTTTTTTAATAGTAGTGATTGATGGAAGAAAACCAGGAACATTGAGTGAAACAAATCGATACGCATTTCGGCCACTATAAATGAAGAGTAAAATAGCAAATTTCATAATATAGTCGGAATATTGAAAATTATTTTTTGATCTTGTCAAATTAGTACAAATGTTGTTTAGTATTTCGATGAGTAGTGTGAGATCGTTTCGATCGGAAAATGTATGAATATCTATGCAAAGTTTGATGACAGAAGAAAGAGCAGGAAATTTGTCGAGAAGTTCAATAGAGAGTGTCAGATGATCAGGAGTTGACGTAATATTGGATGATGGATAATATGCATTTTCATCGAGACGAGCTTGTTCTCTAAGAGCATTCATGAGTTCATTGACACGAGCTTGAAATCCGATCAATACTGACCATGTACCATCGTGAAGCTGTACTGCCACCTTTTCCTTGAGTTCTCGAAATTCATCTGTTGGAAGATAAACAAGAGTAAACAAATCATTTACTCGAAGAAGAGTTTGTATGTCGGGAATTTTTTGTGCTATAACAATATCGAGGACTTCTTGACCACAATGAGAACGAATAAGTTCGAAGAGATCAGATGAAGATATCGAGAGTATAGGAGAAGGAAGTTTCAATGTCAACATTTGTGTTTATAATAAAATCTAAAAAACAAAAAAGGGAATGAGTAAGAATTGATTATCTTAGTAATGCGTTAACTAAAAAAGTTAAGTCAAAAATACATCCTGTTTCATTTTTTTTCCAATACCGAATAAAGCCGAAGATAAAGCTCACTTGTCTAAATCAAACTATTTCATTTACCTGTATGTGGTAAAATCTATATTACACATGTATAAAAAAATAAAGGAAGAATAAATAATAGCAACAAAGGAATAAAAAAACAAGAGAATTGAGAAAGATAATTTACATAAACAATAATAGAAAATGTTCTCTACTATGTTTACTGTGTATATCGTTGTCGTTTGGCTGATGTTGTAACCACTGTCAACCGAATTGAAGAGGCAGTTCGTTTGTTTGTCGCTCGAATATTCGACGGAGCCGGTACAGAAGAAGATGAGTTTTGATCATCGTTCCCATTGTTGTCCATGTTTGAATCGTTTAACGATGAAGAAAAAGTAGCAATAGGAAGTGAAGGACAGGAAATCGTCGAGGTCAGCACGTTACATCTCTTCGAACTCTTCCAATGTTTGTAGAGATTTGACAGATTAAACGTATTATCAGTCAATTTTCGAATTGACATACGGGTGTCACATTGACCGATCACGATAGGAATATCAGTTGAAGGAGAAAGCTGTAGTACATAATCCTTCCCTTCCACTAAGTGTAAATTGTTCGATCCACTTAAGATTTGTTGACTGATAATCCATTTGTCGATAGATGAGATAGTATTTGATCGATAATCGACGATCGATGAAACAGTAGGACTAGGATTTGTAGTTATCGATGAAGAAGTAACTGTAGCAGTAAGATTAGTTGTAGGTGTTGAGAGAGAAGATCGACATTTCGGAGCATCTTTTGCATCTTGAAAGTGCTTCTTTTGAAATAATTCAGTTAAATATTCAATTTGTCCAACAATACCAATATGAATTACATACGAATTGTTATGATCCTGATTCAATTTTACGCACACATCGTGTCGAATGTCATCAAAAGCTGATGTAGAAAGAAGAATAGGTGCCAAAATATCCTTACAAAGAAGAAAAGTATTGATCAAGTTGATAAATTGACATTTAAGTATATGAGTGACATAAGAAGACGTCAGTTTCTCGGCAAGAGAATAGAATTGATCATCCTTAAGCATTAAAGCATCTTGTGGCAAAATATCAACAGAAACTTTTGGTTTGAACGTCGACATATCACAAGATGAATACAGTAGAAAAACGAAAAAAAATGTGCCGTACAAAATGATAACGAGTTAGAACTGACTAGCTGTTTCCTTTTACCCACTAACGTCGGTCAAAAGAGAGAAATAGAGAGATAGTCAGAGAGAAAAAGAAAAAAAAGAGTTAGACAGGAAGTGAAAAGAGAAAAAAAGAGTTAGACAGGAAGTGAAAGAAAAGAAAAAAAAGAGTTAAACAGGAAGTAAAAGAAAAGAAAAAAAAAGAGTTAAACAGGAAGTAAACCCCCCCCCCCCCCCCAATAATTGAAGACCCCCCATATTAAAAGACCCTCCCAATAATAGAAGACCCCTTTGGGAAAAAAACGTGTCCCACATAATAGAAAACCCCCCTATTTATTTAAGATTTTTTTTTTAAATTGAGGATTTTTATTAATGTTTTACCCCGAAACGTGTCTATTTCTGGAGGTTTTCAGCTGAAAATTTTCAAATTGATGAATTAAACTCTATATTTCAGCTTTGAAAATCCTGAAAATCCTTTCTCCAATTTTCAAAATCGCTTCGATTCTCTCTGAGGACTTTTTTAATTACAAAAACTTATCAGTGTAGTCACTGTGGAGCCAAAGTGTAGTACTTATTGGACTCAGACTGCTACAAATCTATATTATATTCTCAAAAATGGGTGAAAAAGTTTATTTTCAAAACATATCAAATAAATGGATAGATTACAACTAATTCTATCGTTTGAGTTAAAGCATACGCTGTAAAACATTATTCCGACGAAACTATTTCATTTCAAATTCCTATCTCTCCTTCATTCCCGTTATCAGATTTCCTGAATATATTTATAATATTAAGACAAGCGACGCAGAATGTTAAACTTCAAAAAAAAACATTGGTCATAATGATTAATTTCTAGCAGTTTCTGTTCGTACATTTCAAACATTTTTTTTTTTCTAATGTGTTTCTTTTCCTGTTGCTATTCGCAATGTGTTATTCTTCTGTTAATCGAAATTATCATTATTTCGTATTATTCGATTCAAGCTTTAATTTAATGATTAAATAATCTTAGTATAGACATTGGTTCTATCTTCGCCATATTCTAACAATCTTATATGCATACCAATGGACTGAATAAGACACAAAATAAATATTTCTAAAAGTTAGAAAGTAGTTTGATCACGATTTTTTATAACTTATACTACCGTTATGAAAAATCACAAAAGATTATCTTTCAAATGG